TTTTGGTTTTGCCATCCTCTCACTCTGGCTCTGGTCCTCAGTCTTGTCCCCTGAGATGTTTCCCCAAGGACTAACTACTCTGAGTACTAATCTTAACACAACAGAGACCACAGTGTGGGAGAGGGCACACACCTGTCCTTAAGGCCCAGCTAAAGATTAAGGTTGAAGAAAATGCCCGGAGGAGACATTGTTGTCTGCAGACATTGCTAACATCTCTCGGGCAGAATTCCTTTATACTGGCCTCTCCTCAACCAAACACACTTGAGGATGTAAATCCCATGATGATGAATTCCGTCCAATCCCCAGTGCCTTGGACCCTTGGGCCCTTGGATTTGGGGTCATCAGCTAATTCCCAGGCATCTAATACCTGAGGGGAGGCGAATAAGGGAAAGAGAGACATGGAATAGCTTGGGTGTGCAAGTAATGAAGTGTGTAAACCCTCAGCGAGAATCGAGAATAGCAAAGAACTTTTCTTCCTGCCCCTTTGGTTAGTCATCTCAACCCATTCCCCAGTACACCAGAGATACTCCTGGGACTAGTTCTTAGGATAAAGTGGTTTAGACAAACAAGGTACTGTATGTGATAACATCTGTGTGGTTGTACATGATACAGGAGAACAGAGAACTGAGAACTTCAGTGCAAGGACTTGCTTAAGTTATCTACTCCTCCTCCTCCCTCCCTCCCCCAGCTTGACAGCTTTGGGCTCTTGGTTTCTCCTTTCCTTTTAAACTTAAGGATTTTTTTGCTGGGGAGGGGACTGGAGAGTGGTTAAGAGCTCTGGCTGCTTTTCCAAAGGACTGGGTTCCATTCCCAGCACCTACACGGTTGCTCACAACTGTCTGTAACTCCAGTCCCAGGAGATTCAACCTCCTCTGGCCTCTGAAAGCACTAAGTACCATGGTGCACAAACATACAGGCAGGTAAAAACACCCATACATGTAAAATAAAATAAAAATAAACAGTATTTTCTTTATCTATCCCTACAAAACATCACAACAATGAAGAATATTTTGTATGACTGCCTGAGACAAACCCTGAAGAAGGGGAAGAAAGAGACAAAATGGCCCACTTCCGGACTCTCCACATGTGCAGATACAATAGTTTGAAGCAGAGAGGCACAGCTTGTCTCTGAGCACTGCCCACCCCTTTCTGACAAGGCCTTTCTACCCTCTCAGTCTCCAGCACCACCTTCTCCTCCATCCATCTAGACTAAAATCTAGCCTTAGCAAAGACCATTGCTAAGTCACTTCGGCACGTACCCCAACCATGATACCTGATCACCCTGGAAATATGATCCCTCACTGCCCTTCAGAGGATGGCTGATGCCCTGGCCTGTCTCCAGCAGGAGCTTGCTAGGTTGGTTTAGACAAAATCCCCTGACCCCAGAGTTTCCTCACGGTAATTTTCCATCCTCTCACTCTACTCTACCCCTCCCCTAGAACTTTTACTTTGCCTCTGTTGTGTTTCAGATCAAGCTGCACCCTTCTCTGGGGCAAATCCCACAGCTGTGATCCCTCTATCCGTTGTCAAGGTCCTAAAAAGTCCGGTTCATCCTGCTGTAGGGTTAGATTGTCACTAGCTGATATTCGCTTCTTAACTTCCCCATTGCCATATGGAAATATTGCCCTTTAGAATGAGTTTCTGAACAGAGTGACACAGCTCTACTAGGCTCCAAATGAAGACTGAAGTGTGTTGTCTCTGAAAAACTGCACACACAAGGGAGACTTCCCTCACTGGACCCCTTGCAGGGGCCTCAGGGAAGGAATGGATGAGTGTCCTGGAGTGGGCACTGTGCTCTTTCTTAGGTATACAGGGATGCATGTTTTCCTGCCCACCCCCATGTCCGTTCTGCTCTGGTGGAGACAATGACCAGAGCTGATCTCTCTTGCGTTGCTCATGACCTTCCTTCTTTCTTCTGTTCCTCCCTCCCCCCCACTCTTGAAAATGTAGTTGTATGAATGTTGCTCCACCCACCCAGGAAGACAACAAGTTTAAACTTCTCCTGGTCTGGAATGAAAGGCCTTTGTAGGAAATCATTGCTGGCAGCTGGGCAGAAGCAATTTAAAACCGGTCCCACCAGTGCAGCAGGGAGAGCAATTCACAGTCCTTAGAGGCTCCTCCAAGTGTGACAGATACAAACAGCCCAGTTGCCCTGAGATGTCTGTTGAGTCAACTGGAAGAAGGCAGACACCGGTGTGAACCATGAGACCTGCTGACATGGGAGTGTTATGTCCTGGGGGAAACGTATGAAGGAGGGATGAAAACACTTCCTGGAGCGGGGACTCAGGAGAAGAACTGGCTAGAAGGATGACTAAAGAAGCTAAACTAGTGAAAAATATCTTAGTTATTATAAAATTCCACTTAAGATCATCAAGCCGGGTGTTGGTGGCACACGCCTTTAATCCCAGCACTTGGGAGGCAGAGGCAGGCGGTTTTCTGTGAGTTCGAGGCCAGCTTGGTCTACAGAGTGAGTGCCAGGACAGCCTCCAAAAAAAATACAGAGAAACCCTTTCTCAAAAAAAAAAAAAAAAAAAAAAAAAAAAAAGATCATCCCAAAAGTTAACACTGTAGAATATTAAGTCTTAGATATTTAAATATATCTTGTAGGGGTTAGGAACAAAGTTTCAAAGACACTTGTGATAACATATTCCTACTGAAATACCATGTTTATAAATGTGGCTATCTGAATTAAACCATATTTGGAAAGAACAAAATAAACATTTAAAACAATGGCCCTGAGAGAAAGAGAGGGAGCAGGATTGGGTGAGTGAAGAGGCGGGAAGATTTGGGAGGAATTAGAAGAAGGGAACAGTGTGATCAGAATATATTGTCTGAAAAAGAGTTTTAAAAACTAGACTGAAAAATAAGCATTGGCCTCTGCCAGAGAAAAGTATAAATACAACAGAGTTTACACAAGAGTTCAAGCAGTCAAGTGTTGTATGTTTCTCTTATTTATCAAGTTTACAGTTATGGGAGGAGAAAGACCACAAGAATAAGGAGGACTCAAAAGAAGCACTGAATAAACAACTCAAGTTTGATGGTACAGTTACTGTTAGGGCCATTCAGTTCTCTCCTAAACATACTTCATAGTTTTAGTCCCCATACTGAGGTCTGAACCTGCCTTGCACATGCTCAATTGTTCAAAAATGAGTTGAGTTTCCAGAGCTCACTAAAATGGAACATAGGTTTGATTGAGTCTAGCAACCCACAGTGACCCTTAGAAAAAGTTGAGAGGTAGGTAAAGTCGCCCAACAATGAAGTCCAAGACAGGTAGGTGTGTGTGTGTGTGTGTGTGTGTGTGTGTGTGTGTGTGTGTGTGTGTGTGAATAGAGATATTATGTTCAATAACAAAACCATCTCCACAAATGAAAGATGACCTCAGAAGGTCAAATCTAGAAACTCATGCACAGCTTCCTGTGAGCTCAGCAGCCCAGAGCATGTTAACAGCTGCACGAACTATGACTCACTCATTGCTCTCTCGGCAGGAACACAGCTGCTGTCAAACAAAGCAAAGCAATTCTACAGAACAGGTCAGTCACACATTCTTATCCCACAGAAAGAAGACTTCAGGTAGCAAAGGGTGCAATTTTCAATGACCACATGTTAGGCCTATGTGAAGAGGCCTCAAATATACCACAAGATCTCTAATGACCTCCAGCGGTGACAACAGAAATTGCTTGGTTTATGGTCCCTGAGACTAGAATGCACTGTACAAAGCCATGATGGATATGAGGTTTGATCTGTTATTTATTTATTTATTTGCTTATTTATTTATTTTCTGGAAAGCTGCAAGGTAGGGTAAAAGGGATCACAGCAAACGGCGAGAGTGAAAAAACCTTCCTGACCTTCAGACACTGCCTGCAGAGCCTCTACCATGGCTGGGGAGAAAACTCGAATGTTAAGAACACACACATACAGCATTTCCAGAAGACCTGAGTTCAGTTCCCAGCACCTACGTTGCACAGCAGCTTCCAAGTGCTTATAACTCCATCTTCAAAGGACCAGACATCCTCTTCAAGTTTCCATTGACACCCCTTCTCTAGACACACACACATATAAGTAAAGAAGCATTATTTAAATAGAAGAGTCTTTGCAATTTATTCAACACAGCAGGGAGCTGTCTCCTTCCCATGATGCCCCCAGAAAGCCCCAGGGAACAATCTAGTCTGTGCCCACGGATGCAGGAGTGAGAGGAAACAAACAAACAAACTGATCTCAATGTGCTGGGCAGGGAAAGGTAGAATAAGAGCAAGGCAGTTTTTGGAGTACAAGCCAGTTTGAGCGCACCCACCTCTTGATGGTTTTTGATAGTTGTATAAGAAATTGAAGGTTAGCCTCTCCTTCAGCTCAGAGTGAAAGCAACTAACCCCAACTGGTGATATTCTCAGTTTCACTAAGCAAACAGTAAGAAATAAGCCACTTCCTAGACTCTCCTCTCCTGGTTTGACAGAGTTCCACCCATCCATTGTTTAATAATCATTTATGAAAATGTCTTCCTATATACCAGGTACCCAACTGGCATATATTGTCTATCTGGTAGTTCCTGGAAGACTTTAATAGACCAGGAGAATAGATCAAGCCAATGACAAGTGTTTGCAAAAATGGAACAGCCTTCCATTGGGATGAAGGTGTTAAGCCCCAGGGCTCTGTTTCATTCTGGAGGAGGAAGCAGGCACTAGAAGAATCCATTCATAAACCATAAAATAACAATTGCCTCATTTTTTATAGAGAAAAGAGGAAAAACTCCTTAAAGGTTATATAAACATGTCACCATATTTTGGTTTTTTGTTTTTTATTTTTTTGTTTTTCGAGACACGGTTTCTCTGTGTAGCTTTGGAGCCTTATCCTGGCCCTCGCTCTGGAGACCAGGCTGGCCTCAAACTCACAGAGATCTGCCTGCCTCTGCCTCCCAAGTGCTGGGATTAAAGGCATGTGCCACCAACACCCGGCTATTTGGGTTTTCTTAAGAACCAATAATTACATCACTATACTGCTTTTACCTTAGTTGCGATTTAGAGCATTGTGAAAGAATTGTGAACAAGAATTCCTGCCGTTGCTTATTGGTCCAGAGGTCAAACCAGTGACTAATGAGAGTGACTCTTTCTTGGAAGAGCTAGAAGAGAGGAAAATGAGATTTCACGGTCCACTTCCATAAGTTCTCGGTTGCTAAGCAGTTGATCAACTAACAACCTCATGGCTAATGTTTACATCGTTTGTAGCAGTTTATAAGTACTTTCACATGGGCTGTAGGGTCTCTGCTTTGGGCTTAAGGTGTTTTTATCCAGGTAACCAGGCAAGTCAGGGCTTGTTGGATGGGCCAGAAGGAAAAACCAGGGGATTTGTAATTACAAAGGGGCCAAGAAGAGCCCATGGAGAACAAAGGGCAATGATGGTTCACTATTTGTGTATTTACCTAGGTTAGTGTAGCCCAGGGCAAGAATCCAGTATTTCATCTTGTCTACAAGCCCTACTCACTGAATTGTGGAAGCAGGACCATTTAATACAAATTTGGTTTTCTTTACTCCTAGCCTTGTGGCTTTATAATGCCCATAAAACTAAAAGTGAGTAATTATTGCACAATGCCGTTGTTAAACTGTGTCTCCAGTGAGGATATACATCATGAACCAACATCTCTGGAAGCTGGGTTGTAGCCCAGTTTTGCATACACAAAGACATATACAAATCCATTGTCTTTATTGTAGATCAGGCTTTATCCACCAGCTACACCTACTCTCCTCCTGCTATGGAAGCAGCTGAGTCCACATGAGCTCTGTCTCCATGAAACCTGGTGAGACTGCCCTACTGTTCAAAGAATTAGTCTTGAATTATTTTTCAAAAGAACAAGGACCCTCAGGTTACATGGAATCATAAATTGAGCACACTATGGAAGAGTATATTTTTTCTTTTTAAATTTAAACTAGAAACATTCTTATTTTATATATCAATCCCAGTTCCCTCTCCCTCCCATTCTTCCATGCTCCCCACCGACCTCCATTCCATTCCTCTTCTGCTCCATAGAAAGGGTGAGGCCTTCTCTAACGGATCATCAAAGTCTGTCACATTTGGGTCAGGCCCTAGGCCCTCCCCTGTGTGTCTAGGCTATGAGATTATCCCTATATGGGGAATAGGCTCCGAATATCCATTCATACACTAGGTATAAATGCTGTTCCATTTACAAGGGGCCCTATAGACTGCCCAGGCCTCTTAACTGACACACATGTTCAGGGGGCCTGATTCCATCCTATGCTGCTTTCCAAGATGTCAGTCCGGGGTTCATGAGCTCCCCCTTGTTCAGGTCAGCTGTTTCTATGGGTTTCCCTAGCCAGGTCTTGACCCCTTTGCTCATCACTCCTCCCTCTCTACAACTGGATTCCAGGAATTTGGCTCAGTGCTTAGCTGTGGGTCTCAGCCTCTGTTTCTATCAGCTACTGGATGAAGGCTCTAGGCTGGCATATAAGGTAGCCATAAATCTCATTATTGGGGAAGAGCATTTAAGGTAGCCTCTCAACTATGGCTTAGACTGTTAGTTGGGGTCATCCTAGTAGATTTCTGGACATTTCCCTAGTGCCAGATTTCTCTTTAAACCTATAAATGGCTCCCTCTATTAAGGTATCTCTTATCTTGCTCTCCTCTATTCTTCGATTGAAGGGTATATTAAAGAACCACAAAAAAAAAAAAGAACCATAGAACCATACATGGAAGTGCCCTTGCCACCTCTCCAAAGCCCTTTCCTTACTTCCCTTCCCCTCCACAGAAGCCCATGATGTCCTGGAGGTGCAGAGTGAGGGGGTGGGGGAAGACATGGTGATCCCTAGGAAACAGACAGAGTCTTGGGTGAGGAGACACTCACTTTGAGACATAGTCAGGTTTTGTTGTTGTTGTTGTTTTGTTTTGTTTTGTTTTAAAAGACTCAAAAGCTAAATGATTTTTCTTTAAAAACATGACAACCTAAGACTCGACGTACCCAGTAAAATTGACTTTACCAATTGAAGTCATCTCTACCATAGAATGCAGAACTCACCTGCCTGTTTAAGGGCTGGTTGTTAACAGGAGTCCAGGTGCTGAACCTCGTGTGGAAGCTTTCCACTTCCAGGCTTTTCTGAGGAAAATTCCCAAATGACATCTCAGCAAAGTACTTCTTCCACTTCAAAGAACTATTGGTTCAATTTAACAGACATATGGTGAAGAAAGCTTAGAAACAACCACAGCAGTAACTGTTTTCTCTGTAGGAATTAGAGAATTACTATATCCATTAATATATAGGTAAACCATTCACAAATTTGCAATTCAGATGTCTACGCATAAACATATGTAAAGTAGACTGAAAATAGCCACCAAGTGTCCACAAACACCAGAGTGTTACATTTATTTTTTATTTATATACATGTATCCAGATCTGGATGTAAACAAGAGTTTTTCTTTGCTGGAAAAGTGGAAAGATAAAAGTGTTTTGGGACGTGCCTTTGCTGAATCAGAGTTGGTACAGACATGCCAGACAAGTGTTCTACTGGCTGAGCTACATCCCCAGCTCCAGATTGTTTTGTGATGTTTTTAGTTTTGTTGTTGTTGTTGGTTTTTTTTTTGTTTTTTTTGTTTGTTTGTTTGTTTTTGAGGAGGCCCCCACCCAGCACCCAAATAAATACAAGGAGGCTTATCTTTAGTTATGAGTGCCTGGTTAGCTTGGCTTGTTTCTTGCCAGCTTTTCTTAAACTAAATTATCCCATCTATCTTTGGCTTCCAGGCTTTTATATGTCTTCATTCCTGTATACCTTTTCTTTCTTACTCCACATCTGGCAGGGTGGCCGGGAGGCTGGGAGGCTGGGAGACTGGGAGGCTGGGGGGCTGGGTGGCTGGGGGACTGGGTGGTTGGGTGACTGGGTGGCTGGGTGGCTGGCTCCTGAAATCCTTTTCTCTTTGTTCTCTTGTTGCTCCTTCTCGGTTTGTTTCTCCTTCCATTTATTCTCTCTGCCTGCCAGCCCCACCTATCCTTGCTCCTGCCTCACTATTGGCTGGTCAGTTCTTTATTAGACCATCAGGTGTTTTAGACAGGCACATTAACACAGCTTTACAGAGTTAAATAAATGCAGCATAAACAAAAGTCACACACCTAAAAATAATATTCTACCACACCAGATTTATTCTTAAAATGTAAATTTGACATTATGCCAGATGACACTATGACATGCACTACAATGTGTCAAATATAATCTGACATCATAAAATCAATGCCTTTATCATCATAAACTAAACAAAGAAGGAAAGTTATATACTAATCTCAGTAAACACAAAAAGTATATCTTATAAGCTTTTGACATTTATTCATGGCACACACACAAATCTTACTAAAGTAGCAATAGAGGGATTTCCTAATCCAAACAAGAATGTATTTTAAAAATGTATGTCAAAGCCAGGCAGTAGTGGCACACACTTTTAGCCCCAGCACTTAGGAGGCAGAGGCAGGTGAGTCTCTGTGAGTTCGAGGCCAGACTGGTCTACTGAGCGAGTTCCAGGACAGGCTGCAAAGCTACACAGAGAAACCCTGTCTTGAGAGGGAGAGCAAGGGAGGTATGTCAAGCATTAAACTCAAGATTGAAGTGGACCCTTACCTTTGATTACAATTAGCATCTTTATTTGACATTTTTCTGAATGTTCTTTGCAGTGTGATAAACCAGTAACAGGAAAAAATGAAATTGTCATTTTCGACGTATATACACTAAAGGATCAGCAGATAACTTGACAGGTTTAAAGGCTGTTCTTACAAGGTCAACAAGCAAAATTAATTTTATTTGCATATGCTCACAAATATTTAAAATTTTTTATTTGTTTTTTTTTTTTTTTTTTTAGACAAGTTTTCTCTGTGTCACAGTCCTGGCTACCTTGGAACTCACTCTGTAGACTAGGCAGACCTCAAACTCACAGAAATCCACCTGTCTCTTCCTCCCAAGTGCTAGAATTAAAGTCGTGCACCACCACCACCTGGCCTATATTTAAAAAATTTTCAATGATCCATTTTTATTTTATGTGCATTGGTGCTTTGCCTGCATGTACATCTGTGTGAGGGTGTCAGATCCCCTGGAGCTGAGGTACAGACAGTTGTGAGCTGACATGTGAGTGCTGGGAACTGAACCGGGGTCCTCCAGAGAAGCATATACTTAACCACTGAGCCATCTCTCCAGCCTCTCACTCACAAACATTTTTAAACAACAATGCATCATTTACAAATAACATTTAAAATCCAATTAAAATGTGAGGGACAAGCATTCCACATAGAATACGAAAAGCTGTAACATATATAGTTGTATATGTTAAGAGATATACATAAGAACAAGTATGTTACAGATGTCAACTCTCCCAAATTATCCTATTACTCAGGGTAATCTTAACCAAAATCCAAACAGTGCTGAACAGCTGACTAGAAAATGTATCTAGAACAGAAAAAGGCAGCTTGGCAGAGAAGAAAGAGTCAGAGCTGTAGCACTTGGTCAGGATCTGTTTATTCTAAAGTTAGGGTAATAAGCAGGTGAGATCTTGGCCCAAGAATAGCCAAAACAATACAAGTCCAGAAACTGAGCCTTGTGTGTATGGGTACATGATTTCTAACAAAGGTGGCATTTACATTGCTGGGAAAGGATAAGTTCCAGCCATGGAGTAGGACAACAGCCCAGGGCACCCAGCTGATCACCTGAATCAGGATAATGTATTACTATTGTTTTGAACCACTGTTTTTTTTTTTTTTTTTTTTTTTGTTTTTTGTGTTTTTTTTTTTTTTGGTGACTTGTTATTCAGAATTAATAAAACCTGACATACCTGGAAGTATATTTAAGTCATATGTAACTTAAAACACCTTTGACACTGGGTCCAGGGTGATGAGGAGCCAAAGAGTGGGTGAATTACTAAGACAGGATTAGAAGATGACCTGTGTCAGTGAGCTGAGTGACACTGTTGCCTGTGTTACTGTGACTAACACAAAGTGTAGCAGTGAACATACACACCTGACTAGATGGCTTCTAAGCAGAATATAGAAACGGATGACTAACTTCTTTATTTACATATAATAAAGTCCAGTGAGACATGAAAGATCTTCTTAGTTTGGGGTAGACTCTCTGGTATGGGTTCCAGCAGGTCACAGAGTCTCATGTAACAAACAGCCTTTGGACAAAGATCAAACAAACGGTGTGGCCAGGGGACTCTTTGGTAAGGTCTTTGAAAGAATTAGGGTGATATTGGGTAGAACCTCCCATTTAACAAGTGAAAGAATTTCCTTTTCACACTCTCTTTTTATTTACGTGCATGTGTGTATCTCTATGTGAGTGTATGCCGTGTGTGTGCCAGTACCCACAGAGACCAAAGAGGGTTACGAGTGGAAGAACTACACCAAGGAAACCAGAACACATACAACATCATAGAAAATGAATGATTATTGTTTCATGCCACTGACATTTGGTGTGGCTTATTACCCAGCACCAACTTAGAGAGCCAGCTGCAGTTGGGCATTGGGAACTCAGACACAGCTGGTGGAAATGTACTATAGACAGCTGTTTGGCTTTACTTTCTGAAGTTGAACATATACACATAATTACCCTAACAGAAAAAGTACACGTATGAATTAAAACATTGAAAAGAATTTTTCCCGAGGCACTGAATTGCTTTGAGAGGGAATCATCCAAGCGTCTATCAACAGCTGGATGGATAAATGCATCATATATCCCTGTAACAATATTGTGTATCGTGGGATGAGGATCTGTTACATACAATGACAGATGAATCACACACATACCCTAGTGACTGAAGAAGCCAGGAGCAGAAATGATCCAGTTTGACCACAATGGTGTTAAGAATCAAGATGGTTTCCTTAGGAGAAGGGAAGAAAGAGAGCAATACTAGAGGTGACTGTAGGGGCTGAGACTGATCTGGAAATAGGAGTAAGTGATATAGTTACAACAACATCCAAAACTATTAAGCACCATGAAAAAAGTGAATACAAATATTATGACGAAAACTGTAACACTATATTGGAAAATATTCTAGCTAGACAGAGGTGGCATACACCTTTAATCTCAGCATTTGGGAGGCAGAAGCAGGTGAATCGAGTTCGGGGCCAGTTTGGTCTACAGAGTTCCAGAGAAACCCTGTAAAAAAAAAGAAAGAAAGAAAGAAAGAAAGAGAAGGAGGAGGAGAAGGAGTAGAAGGAACAGGAGGAGGAGAGGAGAAGAAGGAGGAGGAAGAGGAGGAGAAGGAGGAGGAAGAGGAGGAGGAGGAGGAGGAGGAGGAGAGAAGAAGACGAAGAAGAAGAAGAAGAAGAAGAAGAAGAAGAAGAAGAAGACTATACTAAAGTCCTACATAAACAGAGAAGCATGCCTCCTGTGTGATCACAGGACCTAGCAGAATAAAGTGATTAATTCAAGCTGACCTGTGACTTCACTGCACTAGTAAGACTTTGGTAACAATAGAAGAATCCAGAGGTGATGGCGCATCATTCCTAGCACTTAGGAGGCTGAGGCAGGAGGAGAAGCCAGCCAAAAGTAACACAGCAAAACTTTGTCTAAAAAACAAAACATCAAAAAAAAAAAAAAAACTTGATCTCAGAAAAAAATTGAAAAATCACTTGAGAGCTGAGATGTCTCATCTCAGATGACACCTGGCAACCTGAGTTTTGTCTCAAGAACCCATTGCTAGGACACACATGTGTTCTCTCTCTCTCTCTCTCTCTCTCTCTCTCTCTCTCTCTCTCTCTCTCTCTCTCTCTCTCTCTCTCTCTCTCTCTCTCTCTCTCTCTCTCTCTCTCTCTCTCTCTCTCTCTCTCTCTCTCTCTCTCTCTCTCTCTCTCTACACACACACACACACACACACACACACACACACCCCTAAATAAATGCAAAAACAGCAGCTCTAATTGCCTCATCATGTCTATTCCTAGCTACAGTAAAGCTCATGGGGACTGCCCCATGTCAGTGATTTTCTAGCTGACATGAGAACAATTTAGATGTCCCTAACCACTGACGGGTACTGTAAATTCTAAGTGAGCAAGTAACTGAAGCAAAAACTAGGGTCAGAAGACACCAGAAGACAAGCATTTACATATGCCCTGCCTCCTTGCCATACAATCCAATAGGAGAGGCACAGTTAAAAGTGATCATATTTCGGGGGCTGGAGAGATGACTCAGAGGTTAAGAGCACTGGCTGCTCTTCCAGAGGTCCTGAGTTCAATTCCCAGCAATTGCATGGTGGCTCACAACCATCTGTAATGGGATCTGATGCCCTCTTTTAGCATGTAGACATACATGCAGAAAAAACACTGTATACAAAATAAATAAATCTTTCAAAAAAAGTGATCATATTTCAAAGACATGAACAGTCTTGACAACAATTTTGGAAATGTTACAGGAGGGTAGTGTGACGCAGTGAACACCACATTTGAATACATTGCAACCAAGGCAGTACTGTCACCACAGACATAATGTGTTGTGCAGACTAACAACCTCAGGGCAATGTGGGAAATTAACTATCCTTCTGGATCAGTAAATCAAAATAAAGCCTATGACACTAAGGTATTATATTTGACTGTTGTTATGCAAAATCATTCCAGGAGCCAACATAAGAAAATTGTACTTAGCAAGTTTCTCAGAATTGCTGCTATCCTCTGTGGGATTACTGGTTTACATAATCAGCCAGACACAACAGAATAGTTGCTGTCTCTGCTGGTGCATTTACATACATGATCATTGTGTGTGTGTGTGTGTGTGTGTGTGTGTGTGTGTGTGTGTTGTGCAAGTTTACACAATATTATTTTCATTATCTGAAATGTCAGTTTGAGGCTGGGAGTACATCTCAGTTGTAGAGGGCTAGCCTGCTACCCATGAAATTGCTGGATTTGAACCTCTGTACAATAGAATGGAGTGCTATAGTTCATGCCTGCAATCCCTGTACTTGAGGCAGTAGAAGAGGATGTTGAGAAGTTCAAGGTCATTCTCCACTTCATGGTGAGTTCAAGGCCAACCTGGGATACTTGAGACCCAGTCTCAGAAAGTAAAAGAAAAGGTCAGTTTTCCTGACTAACTACTGAGCCAGGGAAAGATGGCAGAATGGCAGTCAGCCCTCCATGAATGTGTGATTTCTTGCCCTATTTGAAGACATCTCACTCTGCAGCTCAGGCTAGCCTCAGACTAATAGCAGTTTTCCTACTGCTGCCTCCCAAATGATTTGTCTTGTTTCAGCATTTTATAATCATCCAAAGAGTAGTTCTACAAGATGTTAGTAGGTGTTACCTCAGAAACAGAATCTGTGATTAAATATGACTGGGAAATAATAATTGACCAGAATTAGTGTTTCTTTCATTGCACAATGCTTTAGAAACTTTGACATGCTGGTGTTTACAGTGAATCTGTTAGAAGAAATATTATATAGCATTTCCCCCCATTAACTATGACACAGTGCTCACCAGAGTGTGTGTTATATGATGCAATTGTCATGGTGTTTATCGATTTTAGCATAGTATTCCCCAGTCAGTGGCTTACTGTAACAAGCACTGGTGGCTTACTGGAACAAACAATGATTATATCTCACGATGTCGGTGAGTTGAGTTCAGGTGCAGCTTGGCCCGGCCTCCAACTCAGGGTCTCTCAGTACAAGTGTCAACTGGAGATTAGTCATCCAAGGCTGGACTGAGGAGAAAGTCCCTTCCAAGCTCATGCAAGTGGTGCTGAGCTGTCTCTACCCTGTCTCTAATGCCTGTGGCCTGAACCTGGGAGCTGTGATTGGCATCTGCTGTAGTTTGGAACTTGACGGTCACTCCAAAAGGCCCACATGTTAAAGATATGGCACCCAGAGTACTGCTACCACCGGTGGTGCTTAAAGAGGTGGGGCTTTTCAGAGGTACAGACTCATGAGAAGTCTTTAGGTCATTGATGATGAGCCATTGAGGAGGATTGTGGGGCCTCAGTTCCCTTGTTTTCTCCATTCTCTTTTCCATTCTGCCATACACTCCCACCATGGCCCAAAGCAGTGGGGCTAACATCAGGGATGGAAACTTTTGAAACTGGGCACCCAAATAAACCTGTCTTTAGAAGTTGTCTTGGATATGTGTTACAGGGACAGAAAGCTGATTAGCATAGGCCATGAGCTAACTGCTGTTGGACAGTGTCAGGTTGGAAGCCACTGGAGGACTGGTAGAGAGATCTCCCATTCTGGTGATCAGAATGAAGGTTGTATTCATCAAGTGTGTGAAGAGAGAGGAAAAACTGTTGTGTTTGTCTTGTTTCCTTTTATTTTCTTGGAACAATCAAACCTGGATTAAGAGATGAAATGGCTGGGCAACAGCCAGTCCTTGGAGGGCGCTGCCTCACTGTCAGAATAAACCAGAAAGCTGTGTCATCAGTTCACTGTTTCCCTGAATGATCTGTTTTGCAACTGGAGAGATTCAGAGTGGGTCAGTCCTGCTCCACTCCTACAGAGGGTACATCTTAGACTATTAAAAACAGAATGTGTTTGTTAGGGGAAAGAAGGCTCAGTTGTTCTGTTTGCAACTCTTGGGGAGTTCAGTTCCCAGCACCCACATGGGATATCTCCAGGTCTCTTCTAGGTGTGCGCGCGCGCACACACACACACACACACACACACACACACACACACACACACACAGTATGCGCACTGTTCTGGAACTCACTTTGTAGACCAGGCTGGCCTCAAACTCAAAGAGATCCACCTTCCTCTGCCTCCCAAGTGCTGAGATTAAAGGGGTATGCCACCATGTCCTACCCATATAATATATTTTTAAATGATATTCCTTGGTAGAGAGGTGATTGCATTTGGCGCTTTACAGCTTACACATGCAAACTGGGAGGTACTTTAGTGTCTGAAATGCAATTCCTTCAAAAGCATCCTCTAAAATAAGGTTGTCTTCAGACTACAGTCAAGGACAGCAACATCCAAAAATGTGAGGGTAACCAGCAAAAAAACAGAAGAGAAAGACAAGCCCTGTCAAATTCATTTACCTACATTTAGAGCACAATTTAATATGAGCACAAGTCAGTGTGTACATTTATGTTGAATGTGCAAGAAAATAGGTAATGGAACAATGGGATGTCTTGAAGAAATCTGTGCATTGAAGCACCTCTGCTTATAGAAAGCACAATAATCCTTGGGGATGTAGTTCAGTAGGTTGAATGTTTGCTCAGTATGTATGAAAGCCTGGATTCCATCCTTAGCACCATAAAAACTGGTGTGGTGTCACACATGTGTAACCCCACATGGGAGGTTACACATGTCCTGGGAGGTAAAGGCAAGTTGGGTCAGAAATTAAAAGTCATCCTTGGCTACACAGTGAGTTGGAGGACAGCCTGAACTACTTTAGATACTCCTCCTCCTCCTCCTCCTCTCTCTCTCTCTCTCTCTCTCTCTCTCT